CACTCTGTGGTCCGTGAATCCATTTTCAGATATTGATTTGTTTTACAATAATTTTCTTGATGAAATAAATTGAACACCTACAGTGCCAAAAGGTTTCACAATAACAACTACAAGAACCTATATTATTTCGTTTTTTCCGTTCCAACTGTAAGGAAATCTAAAAAAAATAAACAATAACGCATTTTACTCATTAACTGCAGCGTGCGAGGTGAAATTTTCATAGAGTTTAAATCAAACGTTGATATTTCTCGGAAAAGTGGAATAAAATAAACCGTGTTCTCTTTTCTTTATCTTCTAATGGCGACGACAATTAAAAGTTTTCTTTTGGTCGGAATGTACTTTTCGTAATTATTTATATGGCCTCCTTTGTGGGTGCTTCAAAAATGCGCTTCTACGACTGAAAATTTTAAACGTTTCCTTGTCTTCCGACACAAAATAATAGATGCGGGTTTGGGTCGTTACCCCAGGAAAAACTATTTGGAATGACCACGTATGCGTAAGAAAATTCATTGTGAAGCGAAGGTTTTTAATTTAATGCTTTATCATTAATGGTTTCCGCCCTCTATCATAAATATTTACCTTGAAAGTTGACACCACAAGGCTGAAAGCGCATAGTGACTGGAATTGATAAAGAAAGAAGTGAACCTAGTATAATTTTAATCATTTTCAAAATTTAAAATATCATTTTTAATATCACGGTGTATTTTAGAGGTCAGCTAAGGAAGGTGTAATAACGGAGGCAATTTTAGATTAAGATTATTATACTGAAGTTTTAAAATTCGTCAGTTCATATATAGTGTTGCGAATGTTCCAAAAATATTACATTTTTTGTAATATCACCAAGAATTAAAATGCAGAGCTAAAACACATATATTTTACCCTATTCCGATATTAAAATATTGTGTGACATTCTATTGAGATTGGAACAGTTCATTTTAAAGCTATTTTTCAAATAATTCAAAATCACTCTATTTTCAAATTCATTTCAAATAATATCAGTTTGGAATTTTTACTCGTGTACATTTGACAAAATTTTTTCAATTCAAAATTTGCCAATGGCATTATTGATATAACTTAACATAATTAAATCAACGAATTGTTGATCTCATTGACTACAGAGATTACGCAATATCTTTATGTAAAACCAATTATTCAAAAAAATTTGCACGCACTCTTGAAAGGTTTTGTAACATTAATTCATAATTAATGTCTGCTTTAGAAAATTTCATTAGATTTTTTTACCATACATTGAATGTTTTCTTTTCAAGACGATAGAAAATCACAATCCACTAGCAGTGGGCTTTAGTGACATCACAAGATATTGCGGAAAACGCCAAGTGCATTTGAAGGCGAATTTAAAGCCGCGGAAAAGCCCTATCCTTGCTGGAAGAACAGACGGGGCTCTGTAAAGACCATTTTAGAGCAGGGAGTGCACACAATCAGTCAGCGGCCCGAACGAATGCGAGCATGTGCCGAAAGTATACATTAGAGCTAGAGTTCTAGTGGGCGCCGAGGAGCGTTTGTGTGTGTGAGAGAGCCGACCTAGGGTAACGTTGGTCTGTGTGCAAGGCAGCATTATTATTTACCCGTCTCGCGAGGCACACTCCAGCAGAGGTCACTCCTTGAGCCGGCGGTGACCTCGACCCTCATTTTCGTTGCGAGGAAGAGAGAGAAGCGGGCGCGTGCATAAATCATAATTACCGGCTGCCGACGTCTCTCTTTTCGGAGGATTTTTTTATTATAAATACAACACAAAAGGAAAAGGTTCCTTTATTTCTTCATTAGAAAGAGTAGAAAAAAAGAAACCTCTGGAACTGTATATTATATCTTTTTCTCCGTCTTTTCCGCCGTTGGTGTTTCTTTTTGCGTCAGTGTGCGCTGCTGCTGGCTTTTCTTTCCGATTTTTCGTCCGTCGCGGGTTCGATATTGCGAGAAGAAGGAGGGGCCGCGCGCGCCGAAGAGATCAGAGAGATATATATGGTGACGTCATCAACGCTATAGAAGTGTCGCAGTATCCTCACTGCTATAGATAAATTCTAATTAAAACTCCTCGCCGTGGCACAGCCCTATGGTATAGTACAAAACGTGTACCGCTCCGCCGCCGCCACCACCGGCGATCCAATCAATAAAAATGCCCTGCGCTCCGCCGCAATAACATGCAACTTTGCGCAGTACTTGCTGGAGGGGTGTACAAATGTAATGCACGGCAAAACGTACTTTTGATTATTTAAAGTCTCCCAGGAGCTTGAAGACTAATTTATATAAATAAAATAAAATTTTGAAATAATGAATCAGGAGAAAAATGAAGTAAAAAGGTATTTACCTGAATTGAACGGGATGAATTTGAAGATATAAACGATTGCAATAAATTTTGTTTGAAAAAAAAATAACAAAATCACAAATAAAATTGTTTTTAAGGGGTTTCCAATAATTTTTTAATTGTTTTATAGTTGTATAAAAATATCAGTCAAATGTTTGTGACTGGAGTAAAAATTGCGATTTAAAAGTCAGTATTTTTAAGGGATGAAATGAAATAGGGATTGATGAACGCTTCACCTTTTCTCGCTAAAGGCATAAATATTATGTGAGCTTGGAGGTAAGTATCAATCTCATTGTCTAGAATTAGTAACCTGCTAATTTTCCTAATTTAGAGACCAAATGCCCTCAACGTTCAAATAAAGTATATTATTTTACTAAATTAATTGAGCACTAGATGAGATGTTTCGCATCCCTAAGGAGTGCAATTTTTTATATAATTATATATTTATTTCAACGTCAGTCAATCATTGAGTTATTTCAAATTCTTAAAAACAAAAATCCCAAGTTCACACTCTATACATTTAATTATGATTATTGATGAAATGATCAATGCTGGAGGGATAATGTATATAAAATAATTTTTTTCTTTATCTGAAAAAATTGAAAAGGAAAAAGTTTTAAAATGAAATATACATTAAAGTTTGCATTTAAATTTTTTAAATAAACTAAAATTATTATATTATGTAAAGCGTATAAAATTTATGAAGTTAGAAAAATATTTTTTCAGTCAAAAATTATTTTATTTTAAACATTTGCACTAAAAGCATTTTATTAAGCAGAACAAATTGATGTAAAATACTATTAGATTGGAAGTAAATACCGGCGAATGCAACTTCTCGTCATTTTTTTCGTATTAGGTGCTGGTTTCGCGCGTGTAAATGATATTCACGCCGCTGGGTGTAATCTGTTGTATCAATACAAAGAGAGGCACATTACGGATCGGTGGGTGCCCTGCTTCTTCGTACTTGACAGACGGCGGCGTGGAAATATAGAAATAAAAAATAATAATAAAAGCAGCAGCTAGAGAGATGGGCACTCGTCAAACCTCTCGCACATTTAGCCATTTTTTCCCAGCAGCAGTTCAAAAGTGTATATAGCAGGGACGTGGATGAATTACGACATGTTGAAAAAATTCCCTATCACCAGGCACGAAATATATATCACGGGGAGTTATTTGAATATACGGCGGGGGAGTCTCCTGACCGAAAATTTTATAATGCGCCACCAGGTATATTCACTCGGTGTGTCTTTATCGCTCGGCGAGAGAATATGGTTTATTACTGTATTCATGTTAATGCATACCAGGATATAGATAACCGAACACAAAACTACTTGTCACCCAGATAACGTATGCACACACACACCGCGCGCGATTTGTGTGCGCCCTTCGGTGGGTGCATGGGAATATTTTAAACATCGCCGGGGAAATCGGAGACGCGGCGGCTGCATGAAAAATTCGTCTTCGTCTCGCGCCATTTGCATAATTAAGCCATTCACGGATACGGAACGGGAATTATAAATATTTCATTAATGCATGCGTTCGTATCGCGCGACCGACCGACCGACGGACACAGTGAAACTTACAACCGACGTTCGTGAGGCGATTTCGATGAGCAGGTATGCAACCTGTCAAACATGCATGTCACATTGTTCACCTAATGTTTAACGGAGGGTGAAGCTCGTTAGAATCATTGAAATATTTCAATTATACCATAAATTAAAAAAATAAATAGTAGCTTAGTAGATAATATGATAATGGAAAATTTGGGATTATAGAAAAAAACTTAGTTCTGGATGACTAAGTAAAAAATGATTATTTGCATATTTCTGAAATTTCTAAATTCACTGCTAAAAGATAAATTTTGTGAGTTATTAAATATTAATTTCTTAATTAAAAGTTAAAACTTTTAGTATGCAATGTATTCTATAAAGCCAAGTTTATTGCGCACAGTTTTGTTGAAACCACGACAAAACCTTTTAATACATATTTTTTTTAAATTTTTTCAATTCCAACTTGAAGGAAACACGTAAAATAAACGACGCATTTCCTCTATCAGTTGGTGATAATTAAAATTGTGCGTCATTGCCAGACCATCAAACAAAAGTTCAAAAATTGATAAAAAAAAAAAGAACCTTGGCACCTTCTAGGGAAAATTACGGCGGTTGAAATGTATTTTATCTACTTGGTGGAAGAAGAAGGAAGTGCTTTCTATGTTATTATTTATGACCTCTTTTTTTTATCAATTTTTGTATACGTATAAAATGCTTCTACGTCTGAAAATTAAAAACTTTTCCACTTTTGATTAAAGGTTGGAAAAATTTATCGCCAGATAATATTCACTTTGTATACTTTCTAAATGTTTATTTTAACTTCTGTTAACTTCCAGTGAAATTTTCGAATCATGAATTCTGCAAAAGATTATTTAATTTTCATATTTCCAAACATACTTGACTTAAGTTTATGTGTTTATCTCCTATTTAAATCATGGACGCATCTCCCATGAGAAAAGAATGATACACGCCTCTATCATCCGCAACAAAAGATCCAAATTAAGCTCGACGATCGCGGAGAGAGATTGGATTTCAGAAGCCGTTCATTCGGTGTGATGTATTACAAGTTTGCGTGCGTGTATACAACAAGTTATCAAAAAATGAGAACCACATCTCATTTCTCTACTCACCTCTTTTCCGTCCAACCGGCATCACCGCTGCTGAGAGATGTCCCCAAAATTAGAAGAGCAGCATCTGAAATCAATAGCATGTGAAATTTAAGATTTCGGCGACAACAATGAAAGGGCTGGACCGACCACACCGTTTGTGCATATATTTTATTATCATCTAACGCAGCAGATTGCAACAAGAAAATCCACTTCAGCTCAGCCAGGGAAATAATGATGATGTGAACAACAACGAACGCGGGAAGAAAGAAATAAAGAAAGAGAGCAGTTGGTCCATCACAGCCACAATGGGCGCTCATTGTTGTTTTCCAAAGCGTCTCTTTCCGTCCAAAAAAGACGTGAATATGTTTAATATTTGAGTTCTCACGAGTGAATAAAAAGAAGCACAACAGGAAGAGCTGCGAGATTTCTGTGCACATAATATTCCACAAACGAAAAAGGGCCAATAAATCACGCCGATAAAATTATGTTTAAGCGAAAAAGTTTCTTCCATCCTGCGGCGTGTTTTACAATCCCCTTCTTATACCGCGAGCACATTAAGCCTCATTAATGAGTCGTAAATCAATAAGCGCGGAATTTCTCGTTTTCAATAAGAAATTACCGTTCATCATGTATAAATTTTCGTGTTGACGCTGGCGACGCTTTTACAATAATTTGAGGTGGAAAAAGAGGGTCAGCAGCGAGAACGGCAAACCAGTCGGTAACATTTAAGACAACAATAAATTCCCATATTATAAACGTGTTTTTTCTACGCGTTTTCAATAAATTCTTATTATAGATCGTTTATCACCGGTGTGTGTTATTTGAAAAGGAGTGAAAGAGAAATACTCAGGTGTTATATAAATGAAAGGGGACGCGCTCTTTGGAGAAAAAGTCACGTATACTTGTTTCGCAACATCATTACGGCGAGTATTATTATTGACTATTGAGACGATTAATTTTTTACTGTACAGACCGCGGCATCGACATTCTTGAAGGCTCGTTTTATTAATTGGTCGCATTGCTGCACGTTTTTCGTGGGAAAAATTGGATCAGACATACTTTGTACTGAAACCAAATGACAATGACAGTTTATATAGAGGAGTTAAGCGTATCGGAAAAATGAACCGAATACCAAAACTATTATTCCTGTAAGGTGAGTAAATTATTGGGCCCAATTTACTCTGAAATTTATCAATTTAATTATAATGCAAAAATAATATAAATTAGCACACATACAATTCATCAATTATTTATGCTATGTTTACTGAAGCATTATTAGGTAATTATTCATAATTTTAGGGCTCAGTTAAGTTTTTTAAACGAAAAAAAAAGTGTAATAGTTATGAATTAACTGATTTAACGGTAAAAATGTGTCTTATTTTGCAGATCGTATAATGTAAAATAATAAAAATTTATTCAATGATTCTGTTTTAACTTAACACATGTCAAACTAATATCATAAAATTAATATATTGGTTTGTTTTACTAAAAAAATTATTTTCTTTTAAATGTTTAAAAACTTTTTATAATACTTTTAGGCACAGGGCAGCATACACGGTGTGTTAGAGTGACAAACAAAAATATGGCAGGGGTCAACCCCTTTCGTTCTAATATCTAAACTGCTTCCGCAGCGCGGCGTGTGTAGCACGACCGGTGCCTATTAGTGGATAAATTTGCTTGGCACATGCATCGAAATAATTACGATCAATCAAAGAGTGCGGCGCTGCTGGAAAGGCGAGCGTGGTGACTCAAAATAAATACAAACCAGGGACAGCCGCAAACTGTATAAAAAGCCAGGCACACGCTCTGGGCAGTAAAAAGTGGCAATATCGGTTTCGTGACGATATTGGGAACAGCAATTATGATTAAACCCTTTGATAATTAACAATAAACGCCGTTTGGAAAAAAGCTTTATTAATGGCGAGCGAGCGAGCCGAGGCGCCCGCGCTTAACTTTCACTCCGCGTATATTGTATAGCGCGCCGTCTAAACGATTTTTTATGTTAAAAATTTCCTCTGGTGCGAGCACGGTGGTTTTTTAGTGTTATTGTTTTCGTGGCGCGGCAATAAGTCACGCTTCATGCTGTGATCGGGCCCAATAAAATTCTATCAAGCTTCGGCCATAATTAACGCGGCGGCGGCGCAATTCACCTGCTCGCTATTGCGCTGCGGTAGGAAAAATAATACTTTAATATTCCACCCCGCCGCCGCAGCTTGTCAGATGCATGTATAATTTATTAAGACGCATAATTTATGCCGCCAACAATCGACACGACCTTTATTAAAGGAAATTCGACGACCTCTCTCTCTCTCTTTCTGTCTTTTCTTTCGGAGAGGAATGTGTGTGACAAGCTAGGTGCCTCCCTGCACAGAGTGCTTTATGCCTCTGCTGCTACTTTATGGCCCGACTGGACGTTTTATCACAAGAAGTGGTCGCCGCCGTTCGCGGTTAATAATAACTTAATCCAACGCCCTACCGGTGTCAATGATATTTTTTATTTCTAGTGGAGAAAACGACAAAAATTGTGCAAAGCCAAAGTGAGGTCGTAAAATTTTTCGGCTAAAAGAGGAAAATTATTATTTTATTACTCGAATTTGCATTTTTCCTCCAAATAATTCTTCCAAAATTTGAGCCAGTTTTACTTTTAAAAGCAAGCATTATGTTAAATTGTCACAGATATAGTGGAAGTAAATTTAGGCATCTCATATTACTAAATTAAAAATAGTAATTCTTTGTCATATATTGTAAATGAAAAGGAGTTATTTATTTATTGCATATTTTTATTTTTTCAATGTTTAATATTTTAAAAACAAATTTTAAATGGAAACAATGATTGTTTTTATAGAAAAAATTGATCAACATAGTAGCAAATTTTTATATATATATAAAAAAAAAACACCTCAAAGAGAAAAAAAATAATTAAAACTTTCTCCACGCTTACACCTCAGTTGAATTAAATAGAATTTAATTAGATTGTTGATTCAGAAATTGTGAAATCAGAAATTTAATGTAAATGCACGAGTGTTCATTACATGTGCAGCCTAATTCAGGTATGTAGTTCAATTTTCATAATTTGTTTAATTATTTTCTTGTAAAATACTAATTTTTCATTATAAGATCTTTGGTAATTTTATTAAAATATAACATTCTGCATGTTTACTTTTTTATTTATGCACATTATGAGAATTTAAATATATTTTATAAGAAACTTTATATTTCTGATGTTTTTATTATTAATTTTTCCGACAACTTTTTGTTTTCTCTTTTGATCCTGCGTGATTTTCCTTACTGTCCTCCTTTATCATCTGCTGTATACCCGTTTTTATCACAAAAGATCCAATCAAAGGAGGCGCTGAGCATCACAGACTTGAATGTATACATCGGAGCAGGCGCTTCCATTTTCATCAGGCTGAATCTTTAATTCCTCTCCAAACAGGCCCTTTCTCTCTCTCTCTCTCTCTCTTGCTCTTTTATCTCTCGTCATCACCTCTCTCTCGCTCGCGAGCGAGCAGCGACTTCCTCCTCCGCCTCGCCCTGATTTAAAAGACAATGCAGGCCAAATGAAATATTTACATTGAATTTTCGAGCGAACGAACGCATCAAGGACATTAATTTACCCCCTTGAGCCCCTCGTCAGATTAACTTACTTTGACGCACACAATGCGCAAAGTTTCCGAATTAAAAGAAAGGGCGGAGAATGAGAAAGGGTTGCAGCTTCAAATTAAACATCTCGCTCGTAATTCCGTCGGTGCCTCGTCGCGGTGGGCGCGAGTTATTTGACGCGATTCGCTATTTTTGTAAAAGCGCCACTATGCCAATTTTCATTTCGCCTTGAAAATTAGGTCCAATTACAACTCGGTAATGAGATAAAGTATGCAGATACGCAAGACCGGCAAACGTATATAAAAGGATTGAGTTACAATTCGCTTTCAAAGCAAGCTTTTCCAGTCGGTGAGCAGCAAACCCGAAAAACAAAAGAGCAACTAGTTTATGCCGCGACGAGTTTCGCACGGTGACACACGTTACAAATAGTCAAAAAGCCCGACTTTATATATGTATATTTTTATTCCTCGTCGTCCACCGCATATGTAGACGCATAATTGATTCGGCCGACGAATTTGAATTTTTGAAATCTTAATCAGGCCGCGATATTGCGTGGGCCGGGCACATGACAGAATTATTAATAAGCTCGGCCGTCGCGGTTATGCAACACGCAACACCAATTGTTGATGCGGACGTGAAAGCAAAGGGGGCTCTTAAGATTAATTAAATGATTGTGTGCCTCGGCCAGTCAATAAAAGAGTGCCGCCGGGGCGAAAGCGAAAGACGACCGGGCTGCTGCGGAAAAGTTGGCTGTCGCTCAAGAAAAGCAAGCGGGCGTTTCAACTCTTGCCCTGCGCGTAACCCGACGTACGATTTAGTTGACCTTTTTGTTTGCCACGATTTATTCTTTTACTTTTGTGAGCTACACTGTAGGAACCTACATTCTTATGAAAGATACCTGATGATACAGAAGAGGAAACGAAAATTCACACGAGCAAAGCAAAACATGCTGTAAGGAAAAACATGATTATTTAAATAAATAAAAAATTCATAATTTTTTTATTCTATATTAATTTTATTGTGTCAAATTAAATATTATTTAAACATAATCATAATATACGCTTCAATCTTATTTTAGACCATGCAATTGTCAATCTTGATAAATTCTGATATTATTTGCGTCATCGGCAAGCAAGATAATATTAATTTTTGTTCTTTTTAAGTTGATTAAGTAAATAATGTAAATACTGATATTTGCTTATATGTGTATGTTATTTACAGGAAAAACTAATATTTATGCCTTTTAAAAAATCTTAAATGTTAAAAAAATTTAAATCGCAGAAGGCGAAAATCTTGTAAAAATAACTTTAGCTGGTAATAAATAATATTATTTTTAGTTTAAATTTTTAACAAGATCTTTTTTACGCGCTGAAAATTGTATGTGTTTTAATTCATCTCATATTTTCACCTTTTTATTTTGAAACGAAAATTTTGATAGTTACATGTATCCCCAATGGCCACGTGGTGCACCGAAAAACTTAA